TTTCTCTGCAGCTCCATCATCATGGTTATGAGCTTTATTTTTAATTCTTTTTCAGGAAGACTGGTTAGGTCTATCTCCTTCTCAGGGTTTGCCTCTGTGATCTTGGTCTGTATCAATTTCTTCTGCCTTTTCATGGTGATAGATATATTTGTGGGGAGCTGGCATGTGTGTTGGGTAAGAGAAAGTCCCTTCTTGCCAGTTTGTGGCCTTCCTCTCCTGGGAGAACAGTGGCCTCTAGCGGCTTGTGCTGGGCAGCTGTGTGCAGATGGGGCTTCTGATCTTGCCTGGCCGCTATGGAGTTTATTTAGCTCTGCAGTTGCTGTGGGCATGGCCTGCCTCAGGCTGCTTCTCCAATATGGCAGAGCCGCATTGGAGGGGGAACAGGAGGGAGGCTGTTTATCGCGGTGAGGGGCCTCCAAGCTGTGCTGCGGGGGTTCGGGCACCCAGAGTTCCCCGGGATTCCCAGCTGCTGGGCTAAGTGTCCCGGGGCACTTCTGTCCAGCTGTGGGGTCCCTGTCCCTTTAAGACTTTCAAAAAGCACTCACTTTTCTTTGTCCCGGGTGCGCCGGCTGCGGGGATCTGCTCACAGGTCTTACTGTCCTGTTTCCCTAGTTTCCAGCACCCCACGCACGCACTGTGTGTCTGCGCTCCAGTGCGGATGGCTAGTGCTGCGTGTTCAGCAGTCCTGGGCTCTCTCTCCCTCCCTGCTCCGACTCCTATCCTCCTGCTGGGAGCTGGGGTGAGGGGCACTCGGTTCCTGCCGGGCTGGGGCTTGTATCTTACCCCCTTCGCGAGGCGCTGGGTTCTCGCAGGTGTGGATGTAGTCTGGCTGTTGTCCTGTGTCTTCTGGTCTCTCTTTTAGGATTAGTTGTATTTGCTGTATTTTCAAAAATATATATGGTTTTGGGAGGAGATTTCCGCTGCTCTACTCATGCTGCCATCTTGGTTTACTTTCATCCGGTAGTCTTTTAAGTGAAGCTTGTACTATTGAGTTTTACGAGTTTGATTATTTAGGCTAGGGATCCACAAACTATGGCCATGCACCAAATTCAGCCTGCTGCTTGTTTATGTAAATAGCTTTACTGGAACAAAGATAAGCTCATTTGTTTACACATAGTTTATGGATACTTTCTTACATGACAACAGCATGGCTGAAGAGTTGTGACAGAGACCATAAGGGCTGCAAAGCCTGAAGTATTTACTATCTGGCTTTTTAAAGAAAAAGTTTGCTGACTTGTAATCTAGGTGAGCTTAAGATGACTAAGAAATGGTGTTCCATTACTATAGAGACTTAAAAAAAAAAAGGTTAGGAAACTACTATTAGTAATCTAAAGCATTAATAAATTTGCCAAAGGAAGAACATTCTTTAGCATCCACATACCTTAGACATGGAGTTTTTCTTGCCTTCTTGTTCAACTTCAGGCTGTGATGGTGACCGAAACTGAGATAGAGGTGACAAATACCTTAACAAAAAAAAGTTTACCAAAGCTTGAGTGCTTTGAAAGAAAGTGGTATGCACCCAATATTACGAAGCCAGATTAACTGTTCATGCCAAAGGTTGTCTGGTTTGCTGCTTGGCTGATTTATCAGAAATAGTATATTCCATCTCCTTGTCTCAAGTATTTTGGCTTAATTCCAGGGCAAAATTTAAAAGCTGTCCTAATATTTCAATGAAAAACAGCATAAAAGAAAGAAAAAAAAATCACATCTAAGTATTTCTTAATTTTTAAAAGAAGTAAAAATGGTAGATAGCACCAAGACAATGCAAGACTGTATAGTCTTCCCAAAAGTAATGGAAGTGACATTTTAAATCAGGAGAGAGGATATGTTAACTCTGGCTGTTTACTATACAATACATCATGGTTAGTGGGAGTAGGAGGGATTCCAACTAGGAAAGGGCACAAGTGAACAGAAATAATTCTGCACCTTAATCTGGAAGGTGGTTTACACACAGGTAAAAATTCACCAAAAAGTACACTTAAAGTTAGTGCACTTTAATATATGTATGTTATACTTTAAAAAAGTTTACAACTACATCATCATGGAAACACTTATTCTTATCAGAAAAAAAATCTCGGATTTTTATTAAAATCCCTGAAGGAGCCTCTTGTCTCCCATTTCAGAGACACTGACTATCCTGAGTTTCTGACCTTACGTTTAAAAATAGTTCTACCATGTATTTATATCCTAAACACTTAATTGCCTAGTATTGCATCATGCTGAACTTTATGGATATGAAGTCATACTATTATATGTATTCTTCCAGAGCCCTTTTCTTCATCTATTTTCTTGAACCATGGATGTTTTCCTTAGCTAGAATTCACTTTCAATGCAGGAGAGTATTCAGTCCTACTGTTGGACATTTGGGTGCTTGTGCTCTTTGGTATTACATATAGTGCTGCTGAGAACATTCCTGGCCATCTTCTGGGGTTTCTTTAGTGGCTACAATACTCAAGAATCAGAGTATTAACCTTTACACTCCTAACCAAGTTTGTTAAGTGTTCCTTGTCCTTTACAACACTTAGTATTGCTAAAGAGTTTAATTTTTCCAATAGGGTATGAAATGTTACCTCAATGTAATTTTACTTTGTTTTTTTCCATGATTACTAATAAAGTTAAGTATTATTAGTACTTTTTCACATATGCATTGCCTTTATGTTTAATTTTCTATGGAGCCAAAGTTTTTTGCCTATTTTTCTACTGATCTTTTTCTTATTTGTAGGTGAGGAATATTCTTTAATAGTAATTTTTTTGAGTTAGTTAAAATATCTTCTTGAAGATACTTATCTTTTCATTCTCTAAGAGCATTTTGATAAAGACATCCTTTCTTCTTATAGTTTTAGGTACATTTTGCTCTTTTAAAACATCCTCCCAAAAGATAGTCTCCTTATCTTCTTAAAGTTTTATGGTTGTGTCTTTTAATACAGGTCTTTAATTTACCTACATTTTTATAGATATTACGAGTAGAGATCCAAGCTCATTTAACCCCCATAAAATCAACTGTCCCAGCAGAACTTATTGAAAAGCTTGTCCTTTCCCCCAAACCAGAAATGACAACTACCATATTAGTTACCCAAAGTACCCCAAAACTTAGTGGCTTGAAACAGCAAACATTATCTCACATAGCTGCTGAGGGTCAGGAATCTAAGAGGAGCTTAGCTGGTTAGTTGAGGCTTGGATATTGAATGAGGGTCCAGTCAAGATGTTGGTCAGTCAGTCATCTGAGGGCTGTACTGGGGTTAGAGTATCACCTTCCAAGAAGGCTCATTCACGAAGGCTTTCTGGAGTTCTCATTTCTTTACTGGCTGGTGGCAGAAGCCCTCAGGTCCCTATCATGTGGGCTTCTCCATAAGGCTGCTCACAACATGACAGCTAACTTTCCCAGAGCAAGTAATCCAAAAAAGAAAACTCGCAGTGCCTTGTAGGACTTGGTCTCTGAAGTGTACAATGTCACTTCAAGTAATTCTATATACTTAAGTCCAGCCCACATTCAAGGAGAAGGGAAGTGGGCTCCATTTTTTAAAGGGAGGAATATCAAGGAATTTGTAAGCATATTTTACAAACACTAAAGCTGTCACAAAGGCTTGAAACTTGTGGTGCGCTTCTAAGGTTATCTATAACATTGCCTCAATCATTTGATCTATCCCTAAGCCATTACATGTTTACTTACTATAAATTTGAATCATCTAACCTTTCATCACACATTTTATTTTTCTTCAGGAGTACCTGAAGGCCCTTTCTCTTCCATATACATTTTCAAATTAGTATGTCAAGTCAAAAAAGTTGGGATTCTGATTTCAACTGCACTGAATCTTTCATCAGTTTGGGGAGACCTGACAATTACCAATATTATAATATTAGGCATCTACCAATCCACAAATACTTTATACATTTCTTTAGTAAAAAATTATAATGTTATCCATAAGCTCTTATGGATTTTTCAAAATATTCATTTCTAAGTATTTGTTACTTTCTGATGCTATTACAAAGAATACTTAAGTTACATTTGCAATAGACTTTGTACAGATTTTCTATCAAACTTTCTCAACTCTTAATTCTAAAAATGTATCTCTGAACTAAAGGATTTCCTGTATAATTATTCCATCTCTAGTAACAATAGCTTTTTTCTTTCCTTTCCAAGTTCATATATTTTATTTCCTTCTATTGTCTTACTGTGCCGACTGAAATCTCCAGCAGAACATTAGAACATAACAGTAGTACAACATAAGTGGTAAATAGCAGGCCACCCTTGTATTTTCCTGGACTTAAAAAGGATTATTTCAATGATCTACTATAAGGTATAACATCTGATTAAATGTTTTTAGTAGATAACATTTAACAGGTTAAGTTTCTTTCTATTCCTATTTTAAGAATCATCATTACCATGCTTTCCATGTTTAAACAGTTAGTAGATTAACTTGTACTGATTTATTTTCTAATACTCAGCCAATAATGTATTCCTGGGATTGTCATTTGAAATATATTTTCAGCCTTTCTTCTTTTTCTGATATGGCACTTAAAAGCCTTCTAAATATCACCTTTAGCCACATTCCAGAAGCTTAATGCCTAACATTTTCAGTTCTATATTTCCATCAATTCTTTAACAAATGAGCTTCTTAGTAGTTTTTCTTAATTTTCAAGAACTTCCGTAATCATCTCATTAAATTTTAAATTTGAGATTAAATTCAGTAACATAAAATTAACCATTTGTAAGTGTACAGTTAGGCAGCATTCATAATTTCACAAAGTTGTGCAACCATCACCTCTATTATTCCAAAACATTTTCATCATCCCCAAAGAAGGCTTTGTATATATTAAGCAGTTAATTCCAATACCTACCAGCAACAACTAATCTGCTTTCTGTCTCTATATATTTACCTATTCTAGCTATGTCACATAAATGAAATCATATAATAACCCTGTGTCTGACTTTCACTAGTCTATGCCTGAGGTTTATCTAGGTTATAGCACATCTCAGTATGGCATTTCATTTTTAGGGCTGACTATTCCATTGTATGGACATACCAAATTATGTGTATCCATTCATCCTTCATTTAGGTTGTCTCTACCTTTTGGCTACTTAAAGTACTGACACAAATACTTGTGTTCAGGTATTTGCTTTAATAACTGTTTTCAATTCTTTTAGGTGATAGTGCTGACTCAGATGATAATTTGGTTTAACTTCCTAAGAACTGCCAAACTGTTTTACACAGTGGCTGCACCATTGTACATTCTCACCAGCAATGTACAAGATCCCATTTCTCCATATCCTTGCCACCAAAACTTATTTTCCCCTTTTTTGGATTACAGACATCCTAGAAGGACTTAAGTGGTATCGCATTGTGGTTTTTATTTGTATTTCCCTAAGGACTAATGATGTTGAGCATCTTTTCATGTGCTTCTTGGGTATTCATTCATCTTTGGAGATCTACTCAAGCCATTTGCCCATTTTTAAATTCAGTTGATTGCATTTTTTTGAGTTATGAGAGAATTCTTTATATATTCTGCATGATTTGATCTTAACCTATTTTTAACTTTATTTTAATTTTAATACATTAGTTTCACTAATTTCTCAATTTCTTTTAAATTCATTGTTTATTCTTTTAGTGCTGGCAATTTAAAAATTTTTTATTGAAGTATATAGTTTATATATAATCTTATATTAGTTTCAAGTATAGAACACAGTGGTTAACCAGTTACCTGTGTTATTAAATCCTCATTCCAACTAGTGCGGTTACTGTCAACATAGAAAGATGGCACACAACTATTGGCTATATTTTCCATGCTGTACTACCATCCCTGTGAAAAACTTGTATTATCATTAAGAAATTTTGTGTCCCATTATCCTCCATGTATCCAAACCCATCCTCTTCAGTAACTGCCAGTCACCTCTCAGTGTCTGAGTCTACTGCAATTTTGTTTTCTTTTGATTTTAGATTCCACAAGTAAGTGAAATCATGTGGTATTTATCTTACTTTGCCTGACTTATTTCACTTAGTATAATACCCTCTAAGTGAAGGGCCCCCACCCGTAAGATGGCGAACTCCCTGCTTCTCTTCAGGGTCCTCGGATCCCGCCGATGCCACCTGAAGCCCAATCACCTCTCTCCCCTCTCCCAATCCCAGCACCTAGCCAATAGCCACCAGCCCCGTAGAAGTAATACCACAATCACCTCATGCCCCTTCCTATATAACCCAGCACCTTTCCCTAATAAAGCGGAATTCTCTGGTGAATTGCTACTGTGTGTCGCTCCTTCCTTTCATTGGTGCCAAAACCTGGGAGACGGGACACCCCAACTGGGACCGGTCTTCCCCCCGACACCAGCAACAGCTTGCCCTCATCCTCTTTTTCCGGCACTGGCTCCACACTCACCACTCCTCTTTGGCCTATGGGAAAGTTTTCCCCCAGAGTGGGCCGCTCTTCCCTGAGCTATTGCAGCGCCATTGACCGTGATCGTCCAGCA